TCCACCGCCCTTTGGGGAAAGGAAAATCCATCTTTTCCACCCGCCTGGGGAGGACAGGACCCTTTCAGGCCCCTCTGAGTAAAGCCCCTTGTAGGAGAAAACTCCTTCCCAAAGGTGAGGCTTGCAAGGGAGTCCCACCAAACCACCCCTTCCACCCCCTGCCAGACCCCCTCTGCCAGCCTCTCATCTCAACCCGTCCTGAAACCCACTTCATCAAGAGCGGACACAGGGCAGGATGGTGCCCAAAGCCTTTTCTTCTGAGCGATCAGGGCTGCACAGCAAAACAACCACTTCTTCCCCTGCAGCTCCAGCCGGGCTCAGCCTGGTAACAGGACGGATACCACCGTACTGCGGAAGCTGCCCCAAACCCACATCCGTTATGTCCACTCCTCATCTCTCAGCTCAAAGGGATCCAGGCATTTTGGTCTAATGATCTCCAGAGATTAGAAGAAACCATGGCAACATATTGCTGTGTCTGGATCTCCTGTGTCCTACTGCTTCAGCCACCTCCACCCCAGCTCAGACGGAGCAGATACCACTCACCTGGCTACAACTCACACCCACTGCAAAGGAAAATGGTTGACTTCAAAGAGCTCCTTGGTTTAACTTCTCCTTGCCCAGGTGTGCACCTACAGCCCAACCCCATCGCCCGTAACGGCAGATCGGTGTCTTCCCAGGCACCCGGAACAGGTACGGACAGAGCAGAGGCAAACAGCAACCGCAGCAAGCAGGCAAGACCCTGCCGGCGTAAAGTTTCCTTCCCACTGTCCGGAGCCCTGAGCCAGACGTCCCATATCACCGGGCCGGGGCCCTGCTGGGCCTCAGCACAGACAAGGAGAAGATTTGGACCTCTCCAGTGTGGCAGCTCCACACCTCAGCGAGCCCTGAGGCACCACGAAGGACAGCGACTGCCTGGCCTGCACCCACCACCATCACCGTGTTCAACCCCAAGGGGGAGGGGCCGAGCCAGCACTAACCTTCACTTCGGGGTGGTCTGGGGCCACCCCAAAACGGACGAGCCCGAAGGGAACGGGCAGCTTCTCATAGATGTCCACTCGGGCCCCGCCGTGGTGCTGCAGGGAAGGAAGTCACAGTCAAGGGACGAGGACAGAGAGGCCACGTGAGCCCGGCAGCTCAGGAGGGATGCGCACGGCTCACCGGCTGCTGGGGGAAATACGGGGCAGGAGGGAGGGTTGCACCAAGATCCCAAAGTCAGAAACAGCCTCTTCCAGGCTCTTCTGTGCACAGGATGAGGCTCAGATCACAAGGTGTAGCAGAAAACGTGACCCAAACCATCATCAAGTACATCTCGGGGGGGGGCTCCATCCTCCCACCCAGCCCACAGCCCCTCTTCCACACCAACCTGGTGCTATCCAGTACCCAGGGGGCTGACAAAAGGGCCCCCACGCTGGCTGGGAAGCACCCAGCGCAGCACCCTGGGTGCTGGTGGACCCGCTGAGCCGTCTGCCAGCCCCCGGCAGGGGTGCCCGTGCCCTGAGATCCCCCTGAGCTGAGTCACCTCAGGGTCAGAGCTTTAGACAGATGTTTTGCTGCAAGGCTTTTGTTATCTTGTATTTTGAGTCAGCTTCTTCCCAGAGATTAAGCAGCCCTGAAATTTGTCCCTGAGGCTTAGTAACAGATATTTTCCAACATGTACTGGAGACAACGCGGCAGGGTTTAATGACAGGGTTAAGCTGCTGCATCTCTGGTCGGTGCCAGCAGCCAAGTTCTGTGCTCGGGTCTCATTTCCCAACAGAGATGTGACCACCCAGAGCACTCACATTTACAAACGCCAGGCAAAGCATCCCCCAAGTGCCCAGTTCAACTGGGGGAGGAGGAAACGGGAAAGCAGGTCCTCCCCGTTCCCTTTAACGCACTGTTAATGTCGCTCCTGTTGGGTGACAACAGCTCCGGGCGAGGCAGGTCTCTGCTGCTTGTTTGGTTCTAGAAAAATCACTTGGGCTGAGCTCGCAGCAGGGCAGGGACGGGGGCAGCGGTGCCCAGGCCAGGCGAAGGGGGCCAGGAGCACTCTGTGGGGTCCGGGCTGCCCCAAGCAGCCCTCCAACACCACTGACCTGGCTGGAGCAGGGCCAGGAGCCCACAAACCCACCCCCAGCCCCCTCAGAGCCAGGCAGCACGGAGATGCCTCCCTCCGCAGGCAGGTCCCTGCCCTCACCCGCGCCCAAATCCCACCCCGGTACCTTGAGAATGTGCTGAGCCGTGTAGAAGCCGGCGGGCCCGCTGCCCACCACACAGAGGCGAGGAGCCGGGCTGGCGGAGGACAGCCATCGTGTGAAACCTGGAGGCGTGAAGGACAGAGAGGGCGTGAGGGCGAGTGCCCAGGGCCGCCCGTTGCCCTTCCCTCCGGCCCAGCACCGACCCAGAGGGGCTCGTGCCCCCGCGCCGGCCATGGCGCCCAGCCGGGCGGTGGAGGGAGGCCGGGGTTTATGTACCGGTCCCTGCGGTGCGCCCCCGCAGCGGCGTGAGGCAGAAACGCCTTGAGGTCACGGCCGGCGGCCTCCCCGCTCGGCCAAGCCCGCGGCCTTGGGGCTGTCAACCGCCCCGGAGAC